TAATCACCATCAGTAACTTTAACTTGTACAGAAATCCTTCACTGTTCTGAAGAACAATGAGTGCCACCAACCAAGTTCATAAGTTAACAGCATGTTTCACTTGGCTATCAATCTTCATGAAACAATACCTGTTCACTGCTTTTCAACTGAAAACACTTTCATACAAAAGTAAAAAAAAAAAATACTTTTTGTTATAAATTTTTAATGTAATTTACCAGGGAAGGTCACATTTAAACATCTGCACTGCTTTAAATAGAGTATTTTTATTGAGGAAGTAAATAATTAATAAGATGGGTTTATAAAATCAAACAACAAATAGTTTTTTTATGTAGAGACAGATTTAAAACTTTGACCAGCTATTCTTGGAAATTGTATTTAATATTTATTCTTGCTGTAAAAAATGCTTGAGTTAACTGTTGTTTCTTTTTTAAACCCATAAACTTTGGCTGCCTTTTTTCTCTCTTTAAATCTCTCAGAAGATAATGTGTTCATTTGCTTAATTGCTCTAAATGCAAGGAGGTAATGTTTCTGTTGGCACAGACACCTTAGCAAATAAATTATTCTTACATTTTTTTTAATTAAGTGATTCTCAAAGAACTGTTTGCAAAAGACTTAGAAAAAGATGACTACATATCACTCAGGCTCTGTTTAAGGATCCGTCCTGCTAACCCCAGCCCTCAGCTGGACTCATTCTTCAATTCAATTCAGTTTATTTAAATAGCGCCAATTCATAACACATGTTATATCAGGGCACTTTACAGAGACAATTCAACCAGATCATACAGTCTGATTGTTCAATTATTTTTTTCTATTTTAATGGCTAAAATGTTTCTCTTAGTTTTCCTTTCCTCATTAGAACAAGGCTGGTAAAGACAGCTCTAAAATATTAAGGTGAAATCTTCTACTTTCGAAAAAAAGCATATAGAAACTAGGAATGGTTTTAAACTTTGATATTTTAAGGCTAGGGTCTATTGTTGATTGTGTTTAGAGAGGAAAAGTGCAGATCAATAGTAGATTTATGAGATTAAATCTGGGGTCAGTTTAAGCACTGACATAAAAATAACCAAATCTTATAAAGAGGAAATTAAGAAATGGGGGCATTTACGGTTTTATTTATTTTTACATATTTACACCTTGCATCTTTCCTGACTGGCGTTAGCATGATCTATGAATATCATGAAAGAAGGGATATATTGTTAATAAGGTACTCACAGCTGAGGGTCATTAGTAAATTCAGTTTTAACCATGTCCTTTGCTCCTTTCTTTCAAAAACTGTTCAATTTTTTCCACCTTCCTGTCAGCCTTCCTAGGTTCCCTCACTTTGATTCAGTCTTTTTTCCATCATCTCTCTCTTAACTTCTACTTTACTCTTCCTGTTTTTCTTATCTCTCCTCTCTTTTATCAGTCTTCTACTAGTCTAATTACAGCCCCCTCAAGCAACACAAGAGCATAAATCCAGATACCATACTGAACGTTTTCAATTACCAAATAAAATATTTCATTTTTATTCCAGATGTTATAAGTTGGTAAGTTTTATGCGAAATGCGAATCTGGGACAACCCTTGTTAAAATCTTAATATAAAGATTGATAATTTTAACCATTTTCCTTAGCTGTTGAAATGCCAGAAAAGCTAAGCTTTCATTCTGAGCTCCATGCTGAACAGTTTAAATGTACATTTTTAACCAGGTGATTATCTCTCCCTCCTTACTTTTGTCAGTTCATGGGTCCTTACCTACTTTATCAGTTTATGATTCACCTATTTCCTCTTTCTGCTGCTGCAGCTATCCATGTGCCATCTGCCTTTTTTTTTTGGATAAGTCTATTAATGAAGCTACTTTTTATGTTTGCACTTTGGTACCGGTACTTAAAAAAAAACTAATTAGATCTCATACCATTTTGTTTACCTGGGCACAGTAAATGCTGACAACACTACTTACCTAAACTAAACTTATTTCATTGCAAAGATCAGCCCAGTCCAAAAAAACGTATGGATTCACATCTACCCTGAGGAGACTGGAACAGAAAATCAACTCTGGCATCTTAGGCCGAATTGCCACAGATTTTAAATGCTTTCCAAAAGTATTATTGATTAATACTACTAAAATGTTAACCACCCTATTATAGTAATCAGTCTTTGTGCAGCATCCACTGTATTATGTGTGCCAATGTGTTTAGGGGAGGAGAAAATAAAAAAGAACAAGAAAAAAAAAACAGAGATAAAAAAAAAAAAACTGAATGAAATCTTTCTAATTTTTTCAAAATATAATGCCAGGTGGATTATTTGTCCAGCATGAAATCTTCAAGTCATTCTTTCTTTAATTCCAAGTATTATAAAGTCCTCCTACTACCTTATGATATCTAAAAGACATTCTGAAGCTTGTTACTTAAATGTATTAACTTAAAAGAAACACACATTAAATATTGTATGATTATAAATCTTTGACTTACTGAAAGACATCTTTAAAATAGCCTTTTTATTTAACCCTTACGACTTAAAGAGCTGCCTTTTCTCAATTCATGAGGACGCGAGTCAGATAAACACAAATGAAATAAAACTTTTTGCCAAATAAAACAAAAATATCTGCATCATAGCCAGCGGTCCTTCACACATGGGTATGCCGAGAGGGGGCTGCTGCAGACTACAATTAGCACTGGCTGCCTTTAGCCTCGGAGTTCTGCTGATTGCCGCGGTCCCCTCAACTTCGGAAAACATTTTGAAATTATGCATTAAATCGGTAAATGGACCATATAGTGAAGCTTAAAAGCGTAATGGTATCCCCTCAAATGATTCTAAAACGTACTTTTATTGAACAACGGTAACAGAAAGAGAGCTTTTGACGTAATACTCTAAGCTCTTTGAGCGCTACATTGGAATCTGCTGCTGTCGCAGTGCATACTGGGACAGCTGTCAATCTCAAGAATGGACAAGTCTGCTCTGATGCATGCTGGGTAAAGAGGGAGGGGCAAGAACAACATCCGTGGACTCTGTCCATTCTCGGTCTGCTGTTCTTGTGAATTGAAACAGTACTAGGGCTGAGACTAACGATGTTTCACGAGTACATGAGAACGCACAAGTACACATATTGAGAAATGGCCAGCATTTAAGGAGCTGACTGACACCTCAGTAGTTCAGCGCCATTGCATCTATAAGCCTAGCCTATGTTCCTGACTTTGGTTGTGACGTTTCCATGCTTTATCTGTGCATGTGGCATCAAGCACAGCCATGTTAAATGGGTCTGATTTAGAAAACAAAGGCAGTGTTATATTTAAGATGGATTTTCTGGATACTCAAAAGCGTTCAGCACAACTCATACACCAATGGTAAAAAAAAAGAACTTGCTACAAAGAGCGCTACAAAAATGAGAAGACCAGTGTTGCAGTTCTGTGTTTTGGGCACAGGTGGCAGTATCATTAGAAAACTTTGTCATAACAAGACTTTAAAAGTAGACTAAAGGGTTTCCTTTTTCAGGGTGCATCATCAAAATAAGTGGTCCTCCTAATTGTCAATCATTCGTCCCAATTTTCACTTACCGGTGGTGAGTCTGACATAGTGGAAAAATTGCAAATCTTCTTTTGGAAAGTAAGCTTCTATGAGCGATGCAAACAGCAACAGAGCGTGCACGAGGGGAAATGGGCTTGTGCACGTGTTTAATAGGTGTTCCCTCTCAGGATCGGGTGAATGGATTGTGCATTTGCATTCAAAAATTTACGAAAATCCTCCACTATACATTTAAGTTAACAGAGTATCCTTGAAGGGACTTGGCCAAATCTTGCATTCCTTCTGCAATACAGAATATAGTCTTACTAATTTAAAATTGGCGACAAACTAACCTGCCCATAGAAAATCTGCCAAAAAATAGCCAATAATATTGGAGCAGCCCAGCTCATTGCAGGTACCTGTTCACTGCGCCACCTTTCCCCGTCTTTCTGTCGTCACCATCACTCTCATCAGTGAGAGTTGATGAAGGTCCTTTGCTGGGGCATTTTTACAGTCATATTGCCATTTTTGATGGAGTTCAAATGGAGAAATTTTTTTCTGTCACCCAGTTTCTCTGTTAGTCATTTCTGACCAATATCTGCATCATAACAGATGCATATCAATGTTACACTTCATTAGGTGACTCTGTTCAAAGAGAGAATGTGTTCCATGATTCTGTATTATTGAGCCAACCTTGTTTCAGTAAAGGAAATACAAATCAGCCCCAGACAAGTGTTTATCAACTGGAGGACAGTTGCCAGATAAGCTCCTGCGCTTCTCTCCTTTTTAGTTTTTTTTAAACCAGCTACTCAAAATGGCAGCCATTGTAGCTGTTATTATGAGCAACATGCTCAGTTTTGACTTTACAGGGCTACCATAACATGAGTTTATATGATACTTATTTGGTTCATTCTTTTGGAATGTTTCTGGGGACAGTTTTTTTGTTGGTGACAGATTATCCAAAACTGGGAAGTACCTCCTAAAACTATATATATATATATATATATATATATATATATATATATATATATATATATATATATATATATATATATATATATATATATATATATATATATGTATATATTTAAATATATATACATATACATATATTTATATATATATATATATATATATATATATATATATATATATATATATATATATATATATATATATATATATATTTATTTATTTTTTTAAACAATATATGTTTTTTTAATGATCTTAGATTGCTTTATTTTTGCTGGTGTCCTAACATGCTAACTATTGACAGACCTGTGTGTTAGCAGACCTTCAGTTGGATGATATATGCTTATTTAAAACCTTCTAAAAACACCCTGAAAACTAATTTCTTATTTTACTGTTTTATTTTTTAAATCAATTTTTATTACGCTTTCAGTAAAAGAACTGAGATTGAGTTAAGGGGCTGAGCCAGATGATTAAATATTTAGTTTTCACCAGAACACAGAGCTAATAAATCAAAACTATCCTGTTGATTTTTTCTTCCTTCCTCTGTAGGAGCTGGAGGCTGGTCTCCTCTGAGTTCGGACAGGTATCAGTGGCTGGAGGTCGACTTGGGTGAGAGAACCAAGATCACAGCTGTGGCTACGCAGGGCCGCTATGGCAGCTCTGATTGGCTGACATCTTATCAACTAATGTTCAGCGACAAGGGACACAACTGGAAGCAGTTCAGACAAGAGGACAGCATTGGGGTTGGTTTATTCCTTGATTCATGAAAATAATATGTTTTTGTTATTTTTATTTGTCCTCACAAATGACTTTATTTTCAGAGCTTTTAATATACGTAGACTATTCCTTCTGGGATCATTAACAGAGATTTTCCCGTTGCTTTAAAATTACAAATTTTCTGCTGTGCTACATGTACACATTTTCTTAGTCAACAGTTTATCTTTTCATTTGTAATGTATAAGCTAGTGTCGGAGCTTTGCTGACTCTGCTGACAAAACATTTGGCTGCAAACCACAAACTCAGACGCAGTCAAGTGGGACAATTTGTTCCCTTTTTATGTCTTGTTTGTTGCTCCCTGTTATTTTTGTCAACTCAGTTCAGCTCGGAAAAGGCTTAACTAGCATCTAAGTTCAAGAAACAATTTAGCATGAGTATCAAAGCACAGCTTCACATTTTCTCTTTTGATTCTGTGAAGACAGTGGAAAAAAATAACAGAGTAAGAGAACAGAATTGGACATAATGTGCAAAAATCTCCCCCCATTGCTCCGAATAGTGTTAGATACACAGAAAAACATCTTTTGACTGACAAATATATTTTTTTTTCTCAAAGAGATTAAGATTATATGTAAACGATCATTAAATTTTCTCAGTACCAACTGAACATTCCAGCTCCTGACTGATCTTGCTTTTCTTTACAGTTTATGTTCAGGTTTGTGCAATATCTTTAAACCAGTAGACGAGTATTCCAAAAAGTTAAAGATAAAAAACAAACCTCTGGACTTTGTTTTCCAAGTTTGAAGACATTTTGCTTTCCATCCAGGAACCTTTCTCAATTAAAAATGTCTGGATTAGCGTTAAGTTCCAGGCTTTTATAGGGTAGCCCAACAAAAGCCTTGTAATGGCTTAGAAAACATGCAGATTGAAACTGGAAAACCAGCTCCATCCCTTAATAATAACCCCGTTTACACTACCCTTAAAAAACTGAGCCGAGACCGGTCCGAGCTCAGTAACTGAGATAACTTGTCGTGTGTGAACGGAAACAACCTGAACTGAACCGAGATAGACATAACCGGACCGCGCTAACTGCAGACCAGTTCCCGAGGTGGGTTCGGCTCGGTTTTTTCCTGGCTCGGTTCTCTGATAACAAGAGCGCATGAGCAGAACGCGTCATCGCCGACTGGCAAGGTTGCCGTCTTCGCCTTACCCACCGCAAACACCGAAGTACAGCAATAATAATCAAGCATAACTTTCTGAATGTGACGGGCGCCGCCATTTTGATTTGCTTGATTCCCTCCTCCTTCGTCTTCTTCTTCTTGGGTTTTACGGCGGTTGACAAACAGCGTTTGGTGCATTACCGCCACCAGCTGCTTGAGTCCCTCCTTCAATCCTAGCAGTAATACCGCACATCGTCACTAGGAGGCGAGGAGTCGAGATAACCGAGATAAGTGTGACGTGTGAACGGTTGTCAAAACTGAGCTTGGCCTGGTTACCGATCCAAGCTCGGACCGGTCTCGGCCTGGATCGGTTTTTCAAGGGTAGTGTAAATGGGGCAAATGAGAGTCATTGAGGTCGTTGTTGGCCTGCAATACCAGATACTGGCCTATTCCTCTTTTTATTTATTTATTTTTTTTCCTTTTCAAAGGAATAGGCCAGTTTCGGGTATATCAGGCCAATAATGACCTCAACGACTCCCATTATTAAGGGTTGGAGCTGGTTTTCCATTTTCAATGTGCATGTTTTCTAAGCCGTTACAAGCCTTAGTTGGGCTATTCTATTAAATGCTAATCCAGACATTTTGAATTGAGAAAGGTTCGAGGATAGGAAGCGAAAAGTCCAGTGGTTGTTTTTATACTTGAACTTTTTGGAATAACTATGACCTGGAAGACTGAGAATCTCTACCAGCATACAGTAAACGAGTAGGTCATTGGCATGTTTTAAAGAGTTATCAACTGTATAGAGTAAATATACAGGTGCTGGTCATAAAATTAGAATATCATGAAAAAGTAGATTGATTTCAGTAATTCCATTTAAAAAGTGAAACTTGTATATTATATTCATACATTACATACAAACTCATATATTTCAGATGTTTATTTAGTTTAATTTTGATGATTACAAATGACAACAAATGAAAATCTCAAATTCATCATATCAGAAAATTAGAATATTACTGAAGACCAATAAAAACAAAGGATTTATAGAAATGTTGGCCAACTGAAAAGTATGAACATGAAAAGTATGAGCATGTACAGCACTCAGTATTTAGTTGGGCCTCCTTTGGCCTGTATTACTGCAGCAATGCGGCGTGGCATGGAGTCGATCAGTCTGTGGCACTGCTCAGGTGTTATGATAGCCCAGGTTGCTCTAATAGTGGCTTTTAGCTCTTCTGAATTGTTGGGTCTGGTGTATTGCATCTTCTTCTTCACAATACCCCATAGATTTTCTATGGGGTTAAGGTCAGGAGAGTTTGCTGGCCAATTAAGAACAGGGATACCATGGTCCTTCAACCAGGTACTGGTAGCTTTGGCACTGTGTGCAGGTGCCAAGTCCTGTTGGAAAATGAAATCTGCATCTCCAAAAAGTTGGTCAGCTGCAGGAAGCATGAAGTGCTCTAAAACTTCCTGGTATGTGGCTGCGTTGACCCTGGACCTCAGAAAACACAATGGACCAACACCAGCAGATGACATGGCACCCCAAACCATCACTGACTGTGGAAACTTTACACTGGACTTCAAGCAACGTGGATGAAGTGCCTCTCTTCTTTTCCTCCAGACTCTGGGACCTTGATTTCCAAAGGAAATGCAAAATTTACTTTCATCAGAGAACATGACTTTGGACCACTCACCAGCAGTCCAGTCCTGTTTCTCTTTAGCCCAGGCAAGACGCTTCTGACGCTGTCTGTGGTTCAAGAGTGGCTTGACACAAGGAATGCGACAGCAGAAACCCATGTCTTTCATACGTCTGTGTGTGGTGGTTCTTGAAGCACTCACTCCAGCTGCAGTCCACTCTTTGTGAATCTCCCCCACATTTTTGAATGGGTTTTGTTTCACAATCCTCTCCAGGGTGTGGTTATCTCTCTTGCTTGTACACTTTTTTCGACCACATCTTTTCCTTCCCTTCGCCTCTCTATTAATGTGCTTGGACACTGAGCTCTGTGAACAGCCAGCCTCTTTAGCGATGACCTTTTGTGTCTTGCCCTCCTTGTGCAAGGTGTCGATGGTCGTCTTTTGGACAACTGTCAAGTCAGCAGTCTTCCCCATGATTGTGTAGCCTATAGAACTAGACTGAAAGACCATTTAAAGGCTTTTGCAGGTGGTTTGAGTTAATTAGCTGATTAGAGTGTAGCACCAGGGGCCATCAATTTTGAACCTTTTCACAATATTCTAATTTTCTGATATGATGAATTTGAGATTTTCATTTGTTGTCATTTGTAATCATCAAAATTAAACAAAATAAACATCTGAAATATATGAGTTTGTATGTAATGTATGAATATAATATACAAGTTTCACTTTTTAAATGGAATTACTGAAATCAATCTACTTTTTCATGATATTCTAATTTTATGACCAGCACCTGTATACCTAAAGAGGAAAAATTAGACTTATACATCAATAAAAACAAAAACTAAAAAGGAGTTTTGGATTAACCACAGTGATGTAAATCATTTCATATCTGTTTAGGAAGTAGATGTAAAATCTGTTTTTAAATAGTAGTGCTGTTGTTAAAATACTAGTTAGTCACACTAGGATGTGCATAATAAGGCATAAATATCAATAAAGACTTTCAGTGGAAGGAGATGAACACAGCATTACCCATTACCAGCACCTGCCTATCCTTGTAGGGTAGCAGGGGGGCTTATGCCTACCACCGGTAACTTGGTGAGAAGCAGAAGCAACAATATATACAAGATTACTGTAATTACAATATAAGAGTTACTGTAAAGGCAATAAGTACAGAATCTTTAGCCTCCTGAGACCATCCTGATCTCGCGAGCTTTCAAGATTTCACTCGCTAATCAGTCTGGAGACTCTCCGTTGAAGAAAATTTGGAGCCGTTCACCAAACGAACGTCCAATCAGCGTTGGCTTTGAGGCGGGTTGAGGTGTGACGCAACGAGAAGCGCGACAGTTCAGTCTAACGAACATGGCGGCTTTCTTCACTGATAGAAGAGCAAAACACTGCTCTGGAGGCTTTTCTCAGAGGAAAAGATGTTTTTGCTCTTCTCCCGACTGGTTTCGGCAAGAGTTTAATCTATCAATTGGCTCCTCTTTGTCGTCGCTCTGTTACGTCATATGCTTCGTTGATCTGATTGGTTTATTTGGCCCGTCTATCAACAACATAGGCCAATCAGCTAACCAGTATTTTCGCCCCTTCCCAAAATTACTTCAACGGAAGGTTTCCAGATGGATATGCGGAGCAAATCCATCTGGCGGAGTCAGGTTACAGAATCTTAGCTTTCTGGTAAAAGCTGTCATTATTCCCTGAGCCCCCGAGGATAATTTCTTGATTTGGTACTTTAAGTTTTGTAAGGATTTCCTTTTAATATTATTAAGTAATTAATATACTATAACTTTCTGTTGTCAACTTGTTTTGCCAGTACTGTCACACCTGAACTCTGTCACTATGGGACAGTAAATTTAATTCTTTTTATTTTTATTTCTCTACACAATTGTACTTTGATCTAATAAACGTGATAATATCATATTCTCACAAGCCTAGCATCTTTTTTGGTGATCATTTAAAAATTAATGATGGGAATAAACTTTTTTAAAGTCAAAGAACAGTAAAAGCGGCACATTTTAAACATTATTGACATTCTATCTTGGTGATCTTGGTCATTTGAAACTTTTTCAGATAATAACAACATCACTCCATTTCATTTAAAAGATATTTAAATTATTTCTTTAATTCAATTTGTGAAGAGTTTAATTTGTGTCTTCATGTTAATGGGACTAGATGACTGTTATAATGTAGTTTAGCTATTTGCAGCTCTCTCAAAGGCAAGATATTCAAGCTGTTGT